ATCAACTTTTAGCTGAATTTTTGTGCAGTCTTCTGCCTGGACTTCTGTCTTCCATTTTGCCATTCTATGATCTATTTATTGTCAATACAGTAGCCAGACTGAGCCTGTTAGTCTGTAAATTGGATCATGCTACTCTTCTTCCCGATTCTCCTTTGTGCCTTTCTCTTCACTCAGATTCAAAGCCCCTACGTATAGCCTACATGACCTGGATCTCTTTTCCCCTCTGGCAGCATCTGCTATAGCTCATCTTCCTCTTTGTTCCAGTTCTGATCTTTTTGTTGTTTCTTGAACACTCCAGGAAATCTCCCACCTCTTTGACTTTGTTCTTGGCTATGCTTTCTTCCTAGAAAGATCTTCCTTCAGAAATTCTAATGACGCTCAGATTCTTACATTTCTTGTTATTTCTCTTAACCATTCCATCTTAGTAGTGACACAGGTTCAAAACTTTCTAACCATGTAAACCTTTTCTTCTGAAAGAAAAAACATCTAATCATTTCTCAAGTCCTATTGATGATTTTTTGAACTATCTCTTAAGTATGCCCTCTTCCCTACATTACTCACCTATAACATGTCTTACCTCCTTCTGAGAATTTTTTTTCTCTGCACATTCAGAATAATTTTTTCCCAACTTGTTCTTTTACTTTCCAATATACTGATAACAGTGGCATCATGGGAATTTTCTTAAAGTGTAATATTTGCATTTCATTTAGGGTTTAACTTATTGAAGGAGTCTTAAAACATGTTATACTGGCACTACAGGGCCTTCATTTTTATGGCCCTAAATAACTTGCCAGTCTAATTTTGTACTGCTTTTTGTTAAAACTTCCATGCTAGAACAAAGTTCATATATTTTCTTATCTTTCAATGGTTTTTCCCATTTGCCATATTTCTCCACTTTGCGTTCCTCTAACATCTTTTGCTCTGTACTTTAAATTTCTCTAGGTTTGGATCACACAGAGCAACTGGTACAATAAAAGTACTCAGTAGAAGTATCTTGAATGAATAAACTATCACTAGAATTATTTTTTCCATAGCCATTTTTTATAAGCCACTGTTAAGATATATAATTTAATATAAAATTTAAGATACATAATTTTGCTTGAATGGCAGCATTTGTACAACAAAAAAATAATGGCATGATCTAGGAAAATCACACCAAGGGAATATTTCAATTTTTCTCTGAGATAACAATCCATTTGAAAAATGTCTATTATGGGAGTGTTCTTTTGAGTTAACTCAATGTCAGATTCCTTTAAATCCAAGGTGAGCTATTTCAAGCATTTATCGTGAGAATTTGTTAGAAAAAAAATATTTATCATCTCTTGAGAGAATGATTCAGTCACAAAAAAATTAATGATGAAATAAAGTGATTTTTAGTCTTCTGGTCAAACTCAACACTCGTGTCTCAAACTGTTTGAGAGTATCCTCATTACAGTTTTGCATGTGATTGTTTCTGTGACATAATTTTTTAAAAAGTCTATCTATTTGCAGGTTTATGTCAGATTAACAAAGACATAGACAAGACTGAGTCAGGTGGGGATTTTCTTCCAGCATATTGATCTTTTTGCTGCATCTTTCACATCTTTATTCCTTAGGCTATAAATCAGTGGATTTAGCATGGGGATTACCAGTGTGTAAAACACAGCAGAGACTTTCTCCTGTTCCAGGAAAGATTGAGAGCTTGGCTGGACGTAACTAAAGGTCACAGACCCATACAACAAGATCACAGCAGTCAGATGGGAGGCACAAGTGGAGAAGGCTTTGCGTCTCCCCTCAGCTGAGCGGATTCTCTGGATGGCAATGATGATGTGGATATAAGAGACCATAATGATAGTTAAAGTGAACACTACAACAGCCCCAGAGAATATCAAAAGCAAAATTTCATTGTTATAGGTATCAGAGCAAGAGAGCTTCAGAAGAGGAGGAATGTCACAGAAATAATGATTCACAATGTTAGGACCACAGAAGTCTAGTTTGAGCAAACCTATTGTATGTGTCAGTGAGTTAACGATACCACCCAAGTAAGATGCAAGGACCATCTGAATACAAAGCCTTTGGGTCATAATGACCGTATACAACAAGGGATTGGCTATTGCTACATAGCGATCATAAGCCATCATAGAGAGGACGATGCCCTCTGTGGTCACATACACTGCAAAAAAGAAACTCTGGAGAACACAGCCAGAAAATGTGCTGGACTTGTGTTTTGATAGGAAATTCGCCAGCATCTTAGGAGCAAAGACAGTAGAGTAGCAGATATCACAAAAAGAGAGGTTGCTAAGGAAGAAGTACATTGGAGTACGAAGTTGGGCACTTAGCCAGATCAATATGATCATGCCCCAATTACCTACCAGAGTGATGAAATAAATAAGCATGAAAAGCAAAAAGAGAGGGATTTGCAAATTAGGATTTTCAGTTAAACCCACCAGAAGAAATTCCTTCACACTTGTATGATTCCAACTTGCCATATATGCAGGTATTTATAGCTGTTTAGTTGTAGGACGAGATGATATCACTCCATGATCTGGTGTCCATAATAGCATGGAGTATTTAAGTTTACCCTGTAGTTGGATGAAGAAAAATAACTTCAGCAGTCGACCATATGTGTCCTAGACAATCCATCTATAGTGAGCTAAATTTTTGGAATTAGAGATTATTTTATTCCATACTTTTCAGGTTCCATATCATAAAAATTGGGATAAGTAAACTCTCGTAGATGACAAAAGTATTAATTGGTAGAACTGAAAGTCAAACCCAGATATGCCTTGCCCTAAACCTCTGATTCATTCTGTGACATACACAAGTCCTCTGCTTACATGGGCTACAAACTGTGGCACTCTTTGGTAGAAATTATTTTCTTATCCTCTTCTACTTTGTTCCTATTTTTTCACACCCAGTTAACTCATGATACCGACTTTCACAATATGCAGCCCTCTTCCTTTCCAAATCTCAAATATCAGATTTTTTTTCCTCACCTTCTGCTCAGATTCTCCACATGGAAGATTAACGACTGTGCCTTGCAACAAAGTTGAGTTGGGAGAAAGAAGAAGAACAACTTAATATTTACTATTTAGTATTACGGCTAATCCAAAAATAGAAATACAGTTTAACTTGAAAACCCCTCCTTTTTGTATCTTTATATAATTTCACCTTTGCATCTTTGTTTTTTATCAGCATTAAAACAGCAAACCCCAAAATTCAATGTAGAGGCAAGGTGGGAGTTTGAGGTACCAAAACTCTATCAGCTATGTCTTACTTTCAAAAATGTAGGCTCTTGCTTACTTTCACGTGCTTTTTTTTGACACAATAAAATACTAATTCAACAATATTTTTGGTTAAATATTAATAAATTCATTCATGTATGCTTTAATACATTGAATAAATATATATTACTTACTACTCTGAACCAAGAAGTGTTATATTTGTTAGAGATGAAGCAGTGAACAAGACAAATGCCATGTTTTCATGGAGCTTACATTTTACTAGAGAAATAAATAAGGACATATTGATATACTATATTTGTATTGATATATTATTTACAATGATGATGAGCACTATGAAGGAAAGTAAAGTAGGGGAAGGTAAATAGAAAGAGGTACTAGGTACTCTATTATATAGCGTATTCATCTCCTATTGCTACTATAACAATATACCACAAAATTCATGGCTTAAAACAACAAATATGCCTTTCATGCCAGGTACCACGTTAGACATTACAGATCTCAAGAAGGATATATGAGCTGTGCTCTCTTTAAACTTGATGCCCACTGAGGTCAGAATTTGGGTAAGCTTGGGATTCAATCTTCAGAATATTACTAAATCAAATCCAAAATCTTCATTCTGTGAGTCTTATCCCTCACCTACTAAGGTTGTATATTAGATCCTGTATGTATTTTAGATCAGTGACCTCGGGAAGCACAGTGAATCCAAGTCTAACTGTATCCAAGAAAAAGAGGGAGTAATTTGTTGGAAGTAATAAGGATTTTTCTTCTATTAATAAAACCAGGTTGTAAAATATAGAATCAGGATTTCATAACCTGAAAATAAGTTCAACTTAAAAAAAAAGGCAGGACTGAATTTAACCTCAGATGTGACATCTAATGTTCTACAAGTCATTGAATTTCTCTACACTTAAATTTCTTTGTGTAATTAGCATAGTAATATAATAAATAAGGTTCAAATTGGATTAAACTAGATAACATAGTACCATTTACAGGGCTTGTTATATTATACATACACAAAAATACATCCATTATTATCTACTATTACAATTAAAGCTATTATGGTTATTTAATAATTCATTATTTGATCTCAAAATCAGAAGTTCTCTGAGTTGACAAATATAGGAAAAAGCACACTATAGTCATTCTGTATGTGAATATGCATATATGCTCATAGGAACTGAGGTTTGACTTACTGATATGGTTTAGCTAGTTAAGTTAGCTTACTAAATTAATCAGACTATTGGATTTCCCCAAATTCCAAAATAAGCACAGTTTCCCCCTCAATGCAATAAGGGGCACAAATGAACCAGGCAGTGACTTTTGGACAATGCCAAGGGTTAGGTAAGGTCAGATTTATGCTCCCACCAGTTCCCCCAACCCACACACACACAAACTAAGAAAATCAGGCAATCAGTGAAGATACATTTTATCTAAGGTAAATCCATTCTTTTTGCTACATTCACAGAGACATTTTGTTGATGCTTTAGAGAATTAATTACCTACCTTCGAGCCACCCAGAACTATGTAGAATTTATTTTGTACAAGAGGCTAACAACATTTCTCTCCAGATTTTACAAATAGGTCTTATAAGAGATGAGTATTTATCTTCTAGTTTCTGACAAGTGGAACATTACCCCAAGATAATCCTCAATCCCAGGAGGCCATTGGGCAAGCAATTACTTTCTTTCCAGTGATGTGGCATGAATGATTTGTTTTATATAAGTATAGGGGAGGAAGACATTTCCTCTACCCACTGTGGGTTCTTCTTGTCAGAGAGCAAATTCAATTCACATGAGACAGAATAATAGGAGAAAATTAGACAAAGGTTTATAACATGTATACATGGGAGAGGCTCAGGCAAGCTGAGCAACTCGCCAAAACGGCTGAAGCCACCATCTTAAATATCATCTTCAGCTAAAGACAAAGGAGCATACTGGGGGTGCAGGGGGAGTTGATCATGGGAGATTACCACACAAGTACAGTAAACAAATGAAGATTTAAGTCCTTGCCTTTGGCTTTGATTAAGAGTTTCTAGAGATAAGGTCATCCCCCCTTCTTCCTTGTACAGAGAGGGAGACACCTTTACAGACGGAGATTTCCTTTAAATGTAAATGCTTCTTAACAAAGTGTAAGTAAACTCTGCTTTTCAGAGCTCCTTTCCTGTCTGCAGTTTATTAAAACTAACCAGCTCCAAATAATCCTCATGCCAAAGAGACATATCTTGGGGTGGCCAATTCCCATCCCACACATAAGAATAGTGAAGAACCATAACATAATGGACTATACTGTGTCCAGTTAAAACATAACATATGTCTCCATTATTGGCAGTTCTTTGATTAAAAAGCAACAAAAACAACAAAAATTCCTTAATTATAACAGTCAGTAAAAAGAAGAATGTTTTCTCCTGTAAATTCTATTATTTCATTCAGATACTTAAAGATATTTTAAAGCATTTAATTACATGAGGAAATTCTGAAGAACAAGCTCAATGCTATTGAGAAGAATCTCTGACACTATAATTTTTGTTTGGTTCTCAATTATCTGAGTTACTATAAGTAAATATGCCTTGAATGATAACAGTAAGATGCACAAGTAAGAGTTTATGACTCAGGCAATCTGGATTTAAATGTTAGTTTTGCCATTTCACAACTGTCAGACATTGAGTTTCTTAATTAATCTTATTTTTATTAATTTTTAAATTTTGAATAATAATTGTCCACCTTCTCAGATTCTTGTGAGGATTGAGATAACACATGTAAATACATAGCCCCTTGTTCAGCAGATTGTACTCATTTAATGACTGTTCACTTTCTTTTGCAATTATAGAAGTATTACAGCAGTATTTCTTACTATTTTAAAATCAGTTCTAAATTTTAACCTTCTTTAAATTATTGACAACTGTGTAGACTCTATACTTTAAGATTTTTGTGGACAGAATGGAGAATGGATAAATACATGTTGTCAGACTTATTGCAAACAACTGGCTTTTTTCCTAAATCCGGTGGGGAGATTAAAATCAGCTTTGTTGCTAGTAGAAGGGTTTCTTATTTAACAAATGAAGATCATTGCATTTAGAAAATAGGATCATCTCTCATCAATGAAAGCAACAATGTGTGTGAAGACTTAAGAACTGGAAAAATACAGCTTAAAAAATTTCAGAGTGAGAGAAGTTGCCAAAATTATTTTTCTTTCTTTCTTTTCTTCCTTTTTTATTTAATAAACCTATATATCTGGCAAAAAGAAATAGTGAAAGAAAAAAAAATAGTAATGTCCTAGTTGTATTTTTAAAAATGTAATGGTAAAGAAAGTTTCTATTTCTATAAAGAATGCGTGTGTTACTAAAACACAAGGATTATCCTTAACTTCACTGGTACTACCAAATTTTACAAAGTAATATTGGCATGGACAGTAGTAAAACAGCGTTGCTCATTAAAGCAGACCATGAATGTGCTGTCTTGTCAGGAACCTGGAGAACTAGTTGAGAAAACTAGAAGGAACCAAAGGAAAGAAGACAAGAGTGAGAATCTCACCATAGGAAAAGTTTGCTTCACATAAAATTGCCAGCCACTTGCACTGCTAGCTGTTGTGAATAATCTCTCATTTTGCTTCACTTTCAAAAGACTCAGAGTCAGGAATGGAATTTTTGCTCAGCCAAGAGTAGTGCACATATGCAAGTCTTAGTTTCTAGGGAGCTACAAGAGGAAATATCTATCTCCTTTGCCTCAGTTGTGGGGCCTGAAAAGGCATAGCAGCATTCTCTGCTTCTAATTCAGTGGAATCACTGTTGGGTACTTTAGAGGAAATATTACTCTCTTGCTTAAGAAATCCTCTAAATTGGCTGAGCCAAGAGTTACAAGGCAGAGAAGAAACATTTTTATGAGTGTGTTATCAGTTGAATACAGCCCATATGAGGAAGTCCATCCACATGCAATTGCCTTGAATCTCCCTTTTCATTACCAGTTGTGTTCCTTCAGGTTTCTGATCTCCTGGCCAAAAGAAAAGAGATCTCTTCTACCAAGCAATGTAGATAAAAATGTTCATCTCTGGAAGCTCTACTGATTGGATAAATTCTTCAATATTCCCTAATATTTTTTAGAAATTTCCTAGTCTAGGGTATTAATACTGCAGTAAACCATTCTTTGCAGTAACTACTATAGCATGTAAAGCCAGCCAGCAACCAGGCTCAGTTTTTGTTTTTTGTTTTAACTCTTCTGTTAATTAGTCATAGAGAGGTCAGTTGGTGCTACAATGTGATGGAAAAGCAAGTGAAGTTCTCCTGAAAATTACTAGGACCTTCAAGATTTGCTCAGACCCAGCTCCACATATGCAACTTTCATGAAATAATAAAGTTATTCGCAGCCTGATTTTATTACTCAAGAGACCTTATAACTCCATGGTCATAATAAAGAATTAAGCACACATAATAACCTGGCATAGAATGGTAAGGTATTCTATCTCAACCAGAACTTGGTAGCAAGACAATGCTTATTTCTCAAAGTGAGAAAGATTAATTTGCTGAAGCAAAAATTTGATTCATTCAAAATCTCTAAAGGCTTCTCGGTTACTAAATATAACACCTTGATTTTACAGTATCAACTTTGGGACTGTTGTATGAAAAAGGCTGATGTATAGAACTGCTTGCATTGCTGTCTGAAGAACGCTTTCTCGCTATGCGTCTTACAAAACCTTGTCAGCTTTTAAGAGGACCCAATGAGTGAGTCAAAGGTGCATTCACTCATGAAATATGTAGTCTCCTAAATTGAAAGCAGCATATCAGTATTTTGCATCTTTTACATGGTAGGGAAAACTAGGTTTAGAAAAGCGTACTTCCACTTAGGGAGTTGGTGACACGTGATCTACAATGACAAGTACATATTTGGTCTTCATTTTAGTTTCTAGCACAGACATTCTAAATCTCTTGGAATTTCCAAAGTAGTGAGAGAGATAAAAGTGTCTTTTGTTAATGAACTGACTTTTGGAATGCCCCTAGGTCACTTAAGGATTGGGGATTGATTGCCAGGGGAACCAACCCTAAGTTTGGAGGGTTGGAAACTTTAGTCTTGCTCCTCACCCTGCCGGGAGGGGAGAGAGGATAGGGGCTGGAGGTTGAATCCATTACCAACGGTAAATATTTTAATCAATCATGCGTATGCAATGAAGCCTCGATAAAAACCCAAAATGACAGGGTTTGGAGAGCTTCTTGTCAATACTTGAAAGTGCTGGGAGAGTGGCATGCTCAGAGAGTGCATAGAAGCTCCACAACTTTTTCCCATACTTGGCTCTATGCATCTCTTCCATCCACCTGTTCTTCAGTTATATCCTTTTATAAGAGACCATTGATCTAACAAGCAAATGATTCTCTGAGTTCTATGAGCCACTCTAGAAAATTAATTAAACCTAAGGAGAGGGTCATGGGAATCTCTGATTTATAGCCATTTGGTCAGAAGCACCTGTGACTATCTGGACTTGAGGTTGGCATCTGAATGGAGAGGCAGTTTGGTGGGACTGAGCCCTTACCTGTGGAATCTAGTGCTATCTCTGGGCAGATAGTATTAGAATTGGGTTGAATTATAGGGCATTCTGCTGGTGTCCAGGTCATTTCTTGCATGCTGGTATGGGAGGAACCCTCTCCCACACATTGTGAATTGAGTGCAGAACCCCAGGTAGGGGACAACCCAACCTTCTCCAAATAACTGGACCCGGAAACAGGACATCTAGATTGCTGATATTTCCAGTTGTCCATCTTATATTATGGTCTTCAACACTATGGGCAGTTGTATCCTTTCATGGAATAGTGAAAAACAAACTAATTTATATTGTTCTACAGCCAGGATTTACATATTTAAAGACAAAATGCTGAAAGTTCTTTGTTTCCTCTGTCAAGAAAAAATAAAATGATTCAGGACACTTGTTTTTCTTTTGTGGGTTAAGGAGGTGGAGAAAGCATTATCTAGATTAAAAGCTACATAGAGGGTACCATGGGCTGTACTGTAAAAGGATCATATTTGGAATCGTAGTTATAAATGGAGGGAGTCAACTTA